CTTATACGATTCGTATGGTTGGAATCGAGCATCTCACCGGGAACAATTTCTTAGTTGCCCGGAAGTGCTGACCAAAAATTTGGATTTCTTTTATAGCGCGCTATTTTATCCTAGTCGGATGTATGCGGACCGATAGGTCGATGCGTTTGTTTAGGACGGCTAGCGTGCTCGATGGGGCCAATCGCCGAGCATTCGTGTTTTTATAGTCGCGGACGGACTTGGGGGAATATTTTTCTTGATAATTTAGGCAACGTCTCGCCGGTTCTTTCCGAAAATATTTTGATGTGCAAGTTTTATAGAAACAATTAAGTAGTTATTACTGCGGAAGCGATTTTCCGGATGTTTGGAATTCTTTTTTGCGTTTTCGATAGTAGCGGAGATTTTTATAATATTCTAGCTTTGTCTTTATTAAAAATATCGAACATTTTTCGATTACAAAGCGAAAGTTTTAAAAATTTGGGAGTATATGAATACTCGTATACTCACGCACTCCCCCCTCCATTTTGGAAGGGGGGATAGCTGAACTCGTCTTTAGGCGAGCTGCCTACGTATTCCTTTCGGAAATCAAGCCATATCGTAGTTCTGATTGTTTGTGCGAGTATGCTTACTCGGCTGTCGCAGACTTTTCGATCACTTCAGTCGTCGGATCGATGTCTTTCTCCGGGCTTTTCTCCTCCAGTTGGGTAGAAGCGATGGGTGCGGATATTTGCTTTTTCTCAACCGTTGCTTGATTTGGATCGGCTTCCGCGGGCGGTGGCGTGACCTTTGCCCGTTTTGGTTTCACGATTGCGACCGCCAATTTTCTCAGCTTGTGTTCGGCCAGGAAAAAGGATCGTGATTGTCTTTGGCATCCCCAAATTGCTGCGATTCCCGTGGGAGTCAGGAATTTGATGCCTAAGTGATACGTCGATAGAACCACCTTCATGGAATTTATCCAAGGCGTTCCCATGATCACATTGTAGATGGCCGAGAAATCAACTACCGCGAAGTTGACGATTTTCGTCACTTCTTTCGCTGCGACCGGTAGTCGGATCGCCGGAGAAACTGACAGAACAGTGGCAAAGAGAATCTGGGTTAAAGCAGATGGGGTGTAGTTAGTATTAGTATATATTTAGGGATGATAATGATAATGATTATAGTTTCAGGTGAAACATGATGAAGGAGATACGTCGCAGTAAGCGCCAGAAAGGTGAAGAAGCGAGTGTTGAGCCTTTGATAATTCATAGAAGATCCAGGAAGCTTACTGGTCAAACAGCAGAAGAAACATCAACTGATATGCAGATCGGTACTCAGGAATCTGCATTGGAAGAACATCCGCTTGATGATATAGAAAATGATATACAAGGTCCACAAAACGAAGGAGAGACGGAGGAAGGAGCGCCAGAAGAGGCAGAAGAAGATGATACGCAGATCCACAAAACGAAGGAGCGCCAGAAGACGCAGAAGAAGATGATACGCAGCATACACAAAACGAAGATGAACCAGGCCAAGGTGAGCAGCCAGAGACCAAGACAAAGAGACGAAGAGGGCGCACTAGGATGAGTAAAGTCGCTAAAAACATTGAAGACAAGGTCGAAGTCGAATTTACATCTGTCGGTGAACATGTAGGGGATGGATCAGTAACACTTTCCTCATTTCTTGGTCCTCTAGTTAGAGAGCATGTACCAGTCCTTCTTGGAGATTGGAGACGCCTTGATGAACAGACAAAGGATACAATGTGGGAGGAAATTCAGGTATTTTTCAAACCTGAAATTAGTAAAAGAACTCTCTTTTCATATACCATTGCGTTTTAATAAATTCTGAAACTCTTGTAGGCGAGGTTCAAACTGACAGAACAGTGGCAAAAAGAATCTGTGTTAAAGCAGATGGGGTGTATATGGAGGTCTTCAAAGTCAAGGCTTGTTGGTCTTGTGCGAGCTGTAGGGAGCATGGAAGAACTTATTAGATTAAAACCAAGCAATGTTCAATCTGCGTCAGCTTGGATGAATTGGGTGAAGATGAAGAAAGGCAAAGATTTTAAGGTTGTTTAGGTTTAACCAATCTTTCTGTTTGGCTTTATGTGGGAACCGAAATCCACCTACTGTAAATAAATCGTAAATAAGGAAACTTCGGGTAAACCCTAAGTTTCCAGAGGAACCGGCTATCTGCAGAACCGCACAACGAATAATTAAGAAAACGATGAACTTTAAAATTAATAAGAGAATGAATGAGATTGAGAGCAAGAAGGTTCTTATTCCGAATCTGCGTAAGAATTGTTACAACGAGAGTAGCCGAAACTCTAGAAGTCTAAGAATGAAAACCCTAGTTGAGACGCAGCTTGCTAACAGAAAACGGAAATATTCCTTAATGCTAATTTTGGTGGTGAAAGCTCTGAAAAATCGTGTCCCAGCTTCTGCCCTATGCCTCTTGCTTATATACTCCCTCTTAGGCGGTTTTAGTCTTTCCATTTCGCCTGAATTCGAGTTTATCGGGAATCTTCAATTTCTCTTGATCCTTCCTTTTCTCCCGCGGAAATCTTCCATTTATCTTCAAACTTGCCTTTTGTCTTCAAACTTGACATTTATCTTTCTTCTGCAAGTAAATCATCAAAACGTTATCGTATATTCGGGTTAGATTTCGTTAATATCGCGAGATGGGTTTTTATCGCGTTTTAGGACCTTTCGGACCGTTTTGCGATAAAATCCGTTTTACGACTTTATGAGATCGTTTCCTGATCCGATGCCGTTTTTAGTAAATTCCCCGAGTTAATCATAAAATTTAGCTACGTTTGTTCCTTGGTTATCCATTGCCGTTTTTTACGATTTTCTCGACGTTTTCATTAAAAACGCGTTTTTTTATGACTTTAGCGAAAAATATCGAACAAATCGTATAGTTTAGGCAATGTTCGGTGTTTCGTTTAACCGTTTCCGTTTTATATGATTTCCTCGAGTTCGTTCCGAGAAAACAAAGTTTAACGGTTTTTATTGTAAAACTCGAACGATAGGTTGGATCGAGACGAAACGGGAGAAATTTTGACCATGGTCCAGAGCACGACCGTGTCGAATGTCGTAAGAACTGAATCGGGGATACGGGTGATCGAGGCTCGGGATAGTCGATTCGACGTACGGCGAACCGAGCCGAACCGGTACGGCTGGCCGGCCGGTGGACCGTCCGGGAAGCTTCTAGTTCTCCTAACCGGCTTAGTTCGCCGTTGGGCGAACTAGCCGGGACGGTGCTAGTTCGCCCAACGGCGAACTATGCCGGTCATGGCTTAGTTCTCCGTTGGGTGAACTAGCCGGGACGAAGCTAGTTCGCGTTTTACGGCGGTTTCGGTTTTTCGCGGTTTTTGTAAAACGGTTCTTCGAGTTTTAAAATATTTAATTTAAATTTAAATACTTATTCTAGATACCATTACAAAATAAATATAGAACTGAAATGTTTTAAATATTTATATTTATGATTAATTTGGAATTCGGATCGGTTTTTAAAGTTTCCATATTTTCGGTTTTTTGGATTATCTGTTCAAGTTTGGCTAATAACATTTAGAGTGTGTATATGTTCTGTACCACCTTAAGAGATGCAATTTCTTACATTTCGGACCGAATACCAATCGAATTGTTAGTTTGAGTTCAATTCAGACTTTGGATTACAAATTTCATATTTAAACCTACTTTAAATATAGATAAAATACGATTATATAAAGTTTTCATCAAAATAAAGAACGATCAAATAATGCTTTTAACGAACCACAGTAATAAGTATAATAGGAGTAGTGTAGTTTACTGTTATAATTTTTTTTGATCTGAAAAGAAATGAATCAGTTCGTGAAAGACATTATGATCGATTAGTTTTCACACACTAGAATTTCTGGTGGTATTTCTACAATACCGGTGAGTTTTCATTTCTTTATGTACTTGTTAGAGTTTTTGATTGCCTCCGGTGTTATTTCTTATTCTCGGCTGCTTAGGACTATATTTTTCTTGATTCCAGCGAAAATTTACATAGATTTGAAGAAGGATGGCCCGTAGTGATAGGATAAGTCAACTTCGTGAGGAGTTACTCCTGACTAAACGATGGAAGTTTTTATGGATGTTAGTGCCAACACTTGAATATGATCATGCTATGTATCAAGATTATGAAGGCAGTAGATTCTCGCGGTTTGTTTTTGGTTCTTTGCTGTTACATGAAGCTCCCGTTCTAGAATGTTTGCGTTTAAAACTTGATGGGGAGTCTTGTACTCCTGTAGATATTGGGGTATGTGTTAGAACTGCTGTTAAACGCTCTGTACGTGAGTTAGATATCGACATTACTTGTTCTTGAGTTTTGACTCCGTTCATACTTCCATGGAGCTTGTGTGCCGGAGGATGTAGAATGCTTGTGAAGTTGAAACTAGGTAACATGACTCTTGTGGACGCTTCTTCCGTGTCAGCTTCTTTCCCATCTCTTAAAAAATTTGAGCCTTGTAAAGATGAAGTACCCGAATGAAGAATTTGTCAACAAGCTTTTAGCTAGTTCTCCTGTTATTGAGGACTTGGCTGTGGAACAATGTAGTTATGATAATGTGACCGTTCTCGCTGTTCAAATACCATCTCTGAAGAGTTTATCATTGCGCAAGCGATCAGACGTAGGTGAAAAAGAAGCTTCTAGTTTTGTGATAGATACTCCTTGTTTGGTGAGCTTTGACATTCTTGATCATTGCGGTGAGCTTTGACATTCTTGATCATTGCGGTGAGCTTTTTGTCGTCGAAAGTAATAATCCTGAGATTGTGTATGTAAATATTGACATTAATTATTGTCATCCCTGGAAGATGTTGAGTTCTCTTTCCACTACAAGAAATTTGAGTATTGATAGCAGTTTGCGGTAGCACGAATTCACAAACTGCTACTAATAGTACAAAAATCGGACCAACACTCTATCATAGCATTAAATTCGTGCTAACAAAGATTTTCATTAAATAGAGACTCAAAAATGTCTTATGTAGCAGAATATTTATTTTGGAGGAAAACACTTAGCGAAATTTCGCAGACTTATGTTTCGTTTATTTTGTTGGTAAAGCTATTTCTAAAAGTATAGATATTTTTCATCTATCACCCCACCAAAAACAAATTATTCTCACCAATCTTTCGTCATCCTCTATCTTTCCATCTTCTTCTCCAGAGTTTTCTTCCATCAATCTCTCGTCATCCTCTATCTTTCTCTGTTTCTAGGGTGAGACTCTTCATCTTGTTACTCATGTAACCTCTCTCTGCTGCCATCACTCATCATTCTGCCATGGGTGAAATTCTCCATCTTAGATCCTCGAATCTCCCTGTAATATTAGATCCGCCATGGGTATAAGCTAGAAGGAGATTGTTGAGTTGGATATGGCTTCTCCTTCCTTTTTTTCTCCGAGGTCTGTGAATGCGAAGCTATCGTCTACGGCCAAACTCTGTTTCTGAAACCCACTCCAAAATCCAGATCGGTAATCATTCTCTTCTCTGCTCATTTTTCGATTGCTATTGTTCTTCACTTCATTGAAATTTCAATAAAGCTCCATACTTTATTCAGATCAGGCTGTTTGAACTAGATTTCAATAGCTAAGAAGCTCGGTCTTAACCGTAACCATGTGTAATCCCTGTCTCAGATTAAGATACAAGTCAGCTTGGCTATATAATTAGATTAGCCCTTGTCTCAAGCGAATGACTTTTCTCCGGTTAGTGTAATATAGTCGTGAATCAATTGGATTTAATTGAATCTAAAAGATGTGAACTTTGTTTTGTGTGAAGGTGATGTTGTTATAGTGGAAATGATGACAAGAATGCTGCTGGGAATGGAACAAACCTTCAAGTTCTTCGTTGAGGTACATCTCAAGTTTTGTTCCTTTTGGTAGACTATTCGGTAGATCTGATAGATTGCTCATGTTGTTATATTGTTTTGGCCTTTGCAGCTTGTTAAACCTGTGGTGAAAAGAGTCGCGGTACCAAAGCCAAAGAAGAGAGATGAGAAACCTAATGATGTAGATGTTATAGAGATAAGCTCAGACAGTGATGAAGGACATGGCTTAGTTGCTGTCCAAGAGAAGAAAGCCGCCGCCGTTGCTAAGAAGAAAACAGATGTCTCTTACACATCGGTTCTTACCGCTAGAAGCAAGGTTAACTTTTTTACATTGATGTTTTTAAGGCTTCTACAAGTCTGTTGAGGTTAGTACTTTACTTACTTATTATTCATGAATCTGGCGTACAACTGATTGTATAATTAGTACTTCTACAAGTCTGTTAAGCCTGTGATAGTGTGTTAATGAAAATTGTATAAACATTGGCAGAGTGAATGGCGTCCAAACTTGTCGGCTAAGCCAGTACCTAGAAAGAACATGCTGCAGCTGCAATCTACGCAGCGAGATCACTCCTGAGACTTCGATTCTTACTCACTCTCTGACCCAACCTGTGTGTGTATATCTTTGACAGCTTCTCTTAAAAGAGTCAGCTTTAGAGAAGCTTTTTTTTTTAACTAGTATTAAATCAGTTTAACTTAGTTCTTTGCTTTTGTTTATGACTAGATTTGATGGTTGCATGTTCTCTTATGGAGTTCATGTGTTTCATGTATTGGTTTTGTATTTTTTGAATATTTAATGGAAAGCATATGATCTTTTTTGAATCTTAAATGGAAAAACATACGTGAATGTAAAATTAAAAGATAAACATGATAAAGTAGGTATGAAATATTTTTTTAAATAATTTTATTTTATATAATGCGTTTGAATGGAAAATTAAAAGATAGAATTGAGAACTAGAGTTTTGTTATAAAATATTTATATATATAATAGTTTAGAGATCCATTTAATACCCTAAATCTAATACCCTAAACCCTAAAATTTAAATTTAAATGATATTCTAAATACTAAATAAAATATTTCAGATTTTAAACCTAAAATTTAAACTTAAACTTTAAAAAGTAATATGATAAAAAAAATATCCAAAACTAATAATAAAATAAAAAATACAAAAGAACATTTTTTTAACATCAAGTTCTAAACCCTAAACATGACCTAAACCCTATCACATATCTCAAACCATATATCTCAAATTAATTTTATACATAAATCTTCTACTTTAAATATTTTAATCCAAACACTCAAATTATATATCATACAGAAATCTTCAATTTAAAATTTTATTTAATGTAATAATATTGTTTTGTATTTTTACTTGTGTGTTTATTAAAGTATAAACTCCAAACCCTATTCCTTAAACTCTAAACACTCTACTTTAAACCCTAATTACTAAACCATAAACACTAAACTTGGATTAATTATAAACACTTAGTCCAAACTTTATATCATACCCTAACCCTCAAAACTTAACCCTAAATTATAGACATATATATCATACCCCAAGTTAATTATATACTCTAACCTCTAACTAAAGTTAAATATATATATATTTTTAATTCTAAAGTTTAAATTACAATTTATTTTTTTAAGTTAGAGCTTCCAAAAATTTAAGTAAAACCATTAATTAAGAAGCAAAAAAGTACAAAAACAAAAGAAATATCTAGATTAGAAAGAGCCAATTAGAAACAAGTAGGCGGATCACAATCTTGACCATTCACTAAATTGAATCTAAAGGTCCACAATCGTTTTATTCTGATTGGTTCATTTAGAAAAAGGTAGGATCACCAGTTTTTAATTTTGGCCGTTGATGAGTGTTGATCTGAAGGCTGAAATTAATATACTTTAATTATCTTTTTAATTTTTTCTTTTCTTTCCTCTTCTGTCGTCGATACCTCTTCTCTCATTTCTCATCTCTTAGTCTCTCTTCTCTTCTACTATGCTTCTTCTCCTTTTGTGAGAGTTGATCTCAACCTGTTTTTGAATGATAGCTCCAACATCACCGATGGCACCAGGATTCAAGCCGCTATTTCTACCGTCAAGTACTTGATGGGTAACAGATCTAGGGTTGTTCTTTGGAGTCATTTGGTATGTCAATCTCCTTAAGATCCGGTCTGATTTGTCCGTATGACGTTCTCCACCACGGGTAACTCTCTATCTCTCTCTCTCTCTCTCTCTCTCTCTCTCTCTCTTTCGCTCGTCGTCACCACCACTGGTCAACTCTCTCTCTCTCTCTCTCTCTCTCTCTCTCTCTCTCTCTCTCTCTCTCTCTCTCTCTCTCTCTATCTCCGCGCACTCTCTGTTTCTCTCTCTCTCTCTCTCTCTCTGTATTTTGAAATTCATTTTTGTTTGTTCTTGGTACAGTAAGG